CATTTCTTTTGATTGTGTTATACCCTTGCATTTCTGGGCGGTATATAAGTGTCTTATAAACTCTCTTACAGCTCTACCCAAGGATCAAACCAAGACAGAGGAGCTTGGCCTGAAACACTACAGAGTTTTCGTTCATGAAGAAATCTGTTGTTGCTAAGAAGAAGCAATAACATGGTATTTTTGGGGAAAAACAATTTTTTTTTACAAGATTTAATGACAATGTAGCTTGGAAGCACTAGGAATGCTCTGGAAGAAAATGAAGGATCGAATGAAGAATCAGTTCCCTCTTCAGGGAGGACGACATTCAGCCCAGGGAAACAGGCTCCGAAGGAAGCTGGCTGGCGGTGCTGCCTGGGGCCCAGGTGCTCCTGACCTCCCTCAGAAAGACAGGGACAATCCTGGGCTTTTTTCCAAAAAACAAGAGAGACATTCATTTTGCTAGTGGGAGAGCCAGCTTTAAGTCCTGCTCTGTCGGCCCTGTAGCACCTGCCCTGGCACCTGCCAGAAAGGACCCGTGGCACCACCGCTGACCGTCCCCAGGCGCCAGGGGACCCTCAGGGGACCAGAGTGAAGGTTGACGTGCTGCACAATTGTATATTGCCAGTGAAGAGCTGTTGGTTGGTTGTGCGTGAGCAGTAACTTTATTACTTCAGCCCTTGTAGCATCTTAAGAGTTACCTATTTGAAATATTGCAACTAAGCCACACTACAGGTAATTAGATTTCAAATCGTGTTCTTTGGCTGAATTTGAGACTATATTTATTGTCTTTTGTATCGTGGAAATTAGATTTGTTAGAGACTTAGCTATAACATTTGTCAAAATCTTAGGTGAAAATAATTGTAATAAAATGAAATTTTTTGTCCCTACACCTTTTACTTGTTTTGGTTTGTGTGTGTGTGTGTGTGTGTGTGTGTGTGTGTGTGTGTGTGTGTGTGTGTTGGGGGATCCATTGCTGTCTAGCAAACATTTGCCATTTCAACCTTTGGTTTTTGATGTCGTACACCACCTTTGTTTGAGAGGCACAAGCCTTTGGAATATCCTACCCAGCTGAAAAAGCATGAATTTCTTAATGTAAACATGGATTCTGTAGTAAGATTTCCTTAATATCCATGGAATTAAACATAGGAAGTTTTTCTTAAGAAAACTAGAGGCAAAAAAAGGAAACTCCTAGTTTTCATGAGCTTTAGGGTGGTTGTCAATGGAAATTGGGTGTCTTCTAAGACCTGAGCAAGGGTCATAGTTGGAGAAGCGTGTTTGTCTCTTTACCTTGAGCGGTTTTGGTGTGTGATGTTCTAGACACGTTGATTGGCAGGGGGAAGGTTGCTAAGTGTGTGAGCTGTTTTTGAAGCCATTTTGTTTAGTGAAACTATTTTACTCAAGAAAGATACAAATGAGAACCAGTGGTCTCTAGTTTATAGGTTTATATGTTTACAAGTAGCTAAATTGTAGCAAGGAAAGACAGACCATCCCACACCTTTTAGAGGAGTGGGTGAGCTGTGGTGTGGTTAGTTAGTTACATGTTGGGCTGTTAAGCGCATGGTCAGCAGTTCGAACCCACTGGCCACTCCGAGGGAGAAAGACAGGACTTTCTACTTCTGCAATGATTTACAGTCTCCGAAATCCTAGGGAAGCGGGTCTGCTCTGTCCTCGAGGGTCCCTGTCCTGTGAGTTGGAATCGACTCGATGGCAGTGGATTTTTGGTGGGCTCAGAGGGATGGAGAAGCAGTAACAACACAGACTACATGGCAGAAGGTGGGTGGTGAGCAGGAGGCTAAAGATTCTGTCACCCCTTGGTTTTTCCCAACCAGAAAACACTGAAAGGACTTTGCAGATGTAAGAACGCTAATCAGCTGACCTTAGAACATGCCGGGTTACTGGGTGGACAGTGGAATCACCCAAGCCCTTAACAACAGAAGAGGGAGGCCAGAGGGATGGGCAGTATGAGGAGTAGCACTGGCCATTGCCGCCTCTCATGGTGAAGTGGGACACTAACGAGGGACTGTGGGCAGCCTCCTGAAGCTGAACAAGGAAATTGAAGCCCTCAGACCTACAGGCAAGGCACAGCACTGCCAGCTACCTGAGTGTGCCTGGAAGTGCATTCTGCTGCGTCGCCAGGAAGACGCAGCCTGCACATAACCTTGACTTGTGTCCAGCAAGCCCCATGTGGACGTCTAGCCTGCAGGGCATGAGGTAATGGGTGTTTTAAGCCGGTCGATTTGTGATACTTTGTTACTGCATCGGTAGGAAGTGAGTAGAGATCTGGGCTGCCTGCCCTGACCACTCTGCCATCTGCTCCAAACACTTGATCCCGCAGAGCTCTGCTTCCAAATCCGTGAGCTTTGGGACTCCCACTTCTCGAAATCCTGCAGACCAGCCGAGGAAATCACAGGAAGTCCCGTGCATGAAGACACTTGGGCAAGAACCATCCAGGCGTATGACAAGGGAAGAGACCACTTCAGAGCCGACCTCTATTAATAAGTAGCTGGGCCTGTTTCTCTTTAATCATGTCTGTTCTTATTTTTTTCCTTTATATAATAAAAGCGTGCAATTTAAGCGATTCTCTGTTGTCCTGTTATGCTGGGTAAGTATTTATGAACCTGACCTTGATTGCTGTGTAACATTCTGTCATGGGATTTGGCCAATCATTTTCCTAATTTTGAATGTATGGCTTGATGTTTTCCAGTTTGTGTGTCTAGTTGATGTTGCAGTTACCTCTTGGTGGGGGTGGGGTGGGGTGGGGGAGCAATTGGAGCCTGGGCCCTGCGGAAAGGGGCAGCGTGTGTGAGGCACGTTTCAGTTCTAAAGGCCTCAGAGGGTGATGGCCTGCTGAGTGGGTGCAGCAGAAGGAAGCCTTGGGGGAGGGAGAGCTGCTCCGACCCGGGCAGGACTGGGCATTGGGAGGCGATTGCTGATCACAAGTGGCAGCTTTAGAAGAGTGATAGGGGAGGAGGGGGGAGATATGATAAGAGGCCCCGTGTGTACAGCTGCCCGGGAAGCTTGGCCCTGCTGGGTGTGTGTGTGTGGGGGGGGGGGGGGGGGATGGCTCTTTGATGGAGGAGAGCCCTCAGACTGCAGCACAGGCCCAGGGATAACTCTTCTCATGAAGCAGCTCAGGCTCAGTTGGTACATACAGTCAGAGAGCAGGGCTTTGCTTTATCATCTCAACTTTCTCCCTTGTAAAACACCAGCCTCTCAGCTCACCCCCCATCAAGTCCCTCCCCACACCACTGGAACCTAGAACAGGACAGGGTCGAACCCCACCCCTTCTCCCAGGTTCAGACTCTTCTCCGCCTCCCCCCTTTATACTTCCTCTCTGAAGAGCCTTCCCCCTCCCCTCAGGTCCCCCTGGCTGTACTCCCAGCCCCTCATCCTGCTTCCGTGTTCAGCTCCTCTAGGGCCCTGCTCACCTTTCAGGAGAAAGACAGGGCTCTCTCCCCCAACTCCACTCCTGTAAAGAGCGAGTCTCAGAAGCCACTGGGGCAGTTCTACCCTGTCCTGTCAGGTCCCCAGGAGTCAGAGTCGACTAGAAGGCAGAGTTTGGTTTGTCTTATGAGCCACCGCTCCCACTGCCCCCCAATCTTCAGCCCCTCTCCTTGCCCACTTTCCAACCTGGTCTGGCCCCCGATTAATGATGGGGTAATAAACAGATTCTCTGTTTTATTTTCATTATCACCACCTTTGGTTTTCAGTATCTTTATCAACGTGATCTTGTCTTTGAACACCTGCGAATGAAAGCCTCAGCCAGTTACATGCAGCAGCACAGTCGGTAGTACTCTCTGCTAACAGACGTCCAAACCAAACCAAGTCCAGATGATCCCCATCAGCGTAAGTGTGGCTCCACCCCCCGCCCCGGTGGGGATCGCCTGCAGCATTCTCTCTCCCCACGCCTGTGAGGACCGGGTGCTGAATCCTCAGGGGCCCTGCCACCTTTGCTCAGAAACTACTCGCCAGCAGGAAGCACTGGCATGAGTTTGGGAAGTCCACTTCTCCGTGACGTCACCCTGTACCGCTACTCTCGTTGTGCTTCCTCCAGGAGCATCCGCGGCCGACCACAGTGTAGTCAGCCCGAGGCCTCCGCGCCCTTCCTGCTCCTCACCGCACTGAGAGCTCACCAAGTGAATCAAGGTGGCAGGTAAGGCAGGGGTTTAGGTGGGGTGCCCGGGTCTCCTTAGAAGTCGGAATCAGCCGAGCTTGCTTTTGGACCAGATTACCAGAGCTTCTCAACTGAGTTTTGAGAATGTTTAGTTGCACACCTTCATTATAGGTGGGATGCCATTAACATCCGGCTGCAGAGGTGTGCCTTGCCCCCTTCCCCCATGAAAGTGGGACCCAGTGCTCCCTGTGTGCTCACAAACCGCCCCCGCGGAGGCCCCCCAGGAAGGAGCGCATGGCCGAGGCAATCGCACGGGCCTCTTTATTGAACAGGACATTCGGAAGATAAGGCTACAGGCGGTATTTTAGCGCGTTGCTAGCGTTTTTCCCAAGGTAAAGCCAGAGAACAGGCTTGCCAGAGTCCACAGGCCCCATCCGCGATGTCCCCGACCGCATGCAGGGACCCTGGATGTGGGAAGTGTTCAGGCGGCCCAAACAGCATCTGCGCCTCCATCCTGTGGGTTCCCAGCTGGACACCTGGTCTTGATGTGGGGGCTTCGCTGGACCATCAGGGCGGCATTCGGTGTCTCTGACAGCGATGTGCAGGAGGCCAAATACAAGCTCAAGGACCGGCTTTTACTGTATTCTATCAAACTGCACTCGGGTGTGACCTGAATTGTAGAGGGGAGATTGTGCACCTGGGACGACATCCCTTGCTGATATCACTTCCCCCGATTTGCTCAAGGGACATGGCAATGACCGGGCAGCTGTCTGATTTTAGATTGCAGCTGTGGCATCTGCCATGGTTGCTTTCATTGTCCCCATCAAAGGCCTGTGTGTCCCTTCAGGCTAACAACTCCTCCCTGCATTTTATCCTTAGTATTGCAGCGTGTGGCAGAGTAAAAAGTATATACTATTTACAGGTTTCAAGCTTACTTGGGTGAATAGTAGGATGATAAGTAAAGCTTTTACTAGGCTATCTGAAAGTGCTGCTATCTCAAGGCAGTATCCACGGTTTGCTATAATACTCAGTTAAGTAAATGTTCTCATAGTTTCAAGGTCCAGATAACAAGTCTTCCTTTGTGGAAGCTGGGTCCTGGGTTTTCTTTCTTTAGAAGTTGTCAGGCAGGCGGGGTGGCTGACCTCAGAGTACAGAAAAGCAGAGCCACTGGAGGGAGGAAGAAACAAGTCAGTTCCCAAGCAAACCCCGGACCAGCCCCTGGCCCTGGAGTCGGTTCCAGCTCCTAGCGAGCCTACAGGAGAACACCTGCCCTGTGGGTGCCGAGCCTGTTGTCCGTACACAAGCAGACGGCCACGGAACGGCTGATGGGGGTGAACTGCCAACCTTTCCGTTGGCAGCCACGTGCTTTAACCACTGCGCAATCAAGGCAACCCTCAAGCGCATTCAGTGACCATATTTTTAATTATAGGCTATCTTAAAGTCCCTATTGCTCTGACAGACTGACTTTTGAACCAGAAAAACCGATCAAGGGCTAAGATCTCAGCATACTAAATTGCATTTTTTCTCTTTCCCTACTTGATTTCTAATGTCCAGCATTTTGCACGTGTAAGGAGCTCCAGTGGCACTGGGTTAGGTATTGGGCTGCTAATCACAGGTCGGCGGTTCAAACCCACTAGCTGCTCCCTGGGAGACAGATGAGGCTGTTTGCTCCCTGAAGCCTGGGAAACCCTCTTCAGGGCCGCTATGAGCTAAACAGCGATGGGATTGAGCTTTCTCTTTCATCTGTGTTATATGAATCACTGGTCACAAATTGCATTATAGGGCTGATGGTGAGCACGTGAGATCGGCCTTCATAAATGAGCCATTTCATTGGTCTCTGCCCCGGAGTAGGCAACAGCAAAGGCTAATTTGGGGTGTAAACGCCTTAAGGAAGCCCTTACAACTTGGTCCCCTTGAGAATGGTCTGGGCAACTTCCAGTCACTCTGCTCTCACCAGTCTGGGACAGGGCCTGGGCGTCAGCTGCTCCCAGCATTCCCACGAGACTGAGCTCGGGCTGAAAGGCCTGCACACTGCGGGGAGACATGCGAGGCCCTGCCTGCCCTGGGCAATGCCGGCTAGGCTGTGCTGGAGGCCTGCGCAGGTGAGATGCAGAAATAGAGCAGAGCAAGGCAGCACACAGGTGTGTCTCAGTAGGAATGGCGTGGGTTGGACTAAGTAGGCAGGCCGGTGCAGACAGGTGGGACTGGGGCAATAGGTTATCCGGCCAGAATGATTAAAAGGCTGGAGTTCCAAGAACTTGACATACAGCACAGTCACAATTGCACTACGCCTATTTGAGATTATAATCTTACAGTAGGGATGTTTCCTAGGCTTCTTACAGCGTTAAGCAAATGCTATTCACAGTGACCAGTTAAGCTATGTTCTCAGTTGGCCAAAGGCACACCAGAGTGAATACGGGGGCTTAAGCTGCTTGGTTTGTCAGAAATTAAGAACTCAAGGGAGAGAGTTGCAGTTCCCTAGACCTGTCCCTGTAAGACCTTGTTCCTCTGTACCATGGAGATGGGATGCCCCCCCACCTCCACCCCAACCGTCCCCATTGCAGTCCTCCCCTCCCTCCCAGTGCTGACCAAGTGTGTGCTCCTATCAGCTCGTCTCCCTCCTCCCTCCAGTGACACGAGAATGCAGAGACCGGAGCGGGGTTGGAAGCGAGAGACTGTCATCCCATTGCTGCCAGCTTCGCGGAGATGGGTGAGAGTTCGGAGGTGAGTCTTGCGGGGGTTCCAGACACATGAGGACAACCATTGTACAGGGCAAACTTCATGCGACTGTCTGTTCATTTTACAGGGGAAGGAGCCAAGAAGAGCGCTAGCCTCACAGTATTTTAAGTAGCTCCAAGAATGGCAAGAGCTCCCAAAAACACAAGTTGGATTTCGTCCGAGGGCTCTCTTTATATCAGCGCCTTCTCCCGTGCATGCTAACCAGCACTGTGCTTTCCTCACAGTCACCTCTCCTGAGGACACCCTGGCACTCAGCTCCCAGGGCGAGGGAGCAGAGGTGCGGTCTTGGCCTGGAGACTCAACAGGCAGTAGGGAGAGTCCTGCAAATAACGGTGCCTTGGGGATCTTATCACCCTTTATGGGCCAGTTCCTAGCAGAACAAAAGGCTTTCTGAAAGAGGCGTTTTTAAAGGCCATCCACCCCAGCAGGTCTGTCACTCAGGTCAGCCCTCCC